CCCAGCTAATTTTTTGTAGCTTTAGTAGAGACGGGGTTTCACCGTGTTGACCAGGATGGTCTTGATCTCTTGACCTTGTGATCCGCCCGCCTCGGCCTCCCAAAGTGCTGGGATTACAGGCTTGAGCCACCGCGCCCGGCCCATCACAGAGCTTTTCAAAAGTCCGCCAGTCCTCACCATGAGTAGAATTCCACCGTATGGACCAACTTTGTCTTGCTACCCCAGCTGATGGGTCATTTCCGGTTTGGGACTACTATGAGTGAAACTACTAAGGACATTCTTGTGTAACTCTCTCGTGGATATATGTTTTCATTTCTCTTGATTGCTACTTCGGAAGGGGATTGCTGGGTCATAACAGCTATGAATTATTTACGTATTCTAGTTTCAAGTTGTCTAAAATGTGTAACTGAGAATACTTTTATCTGGGAAACTTCGATGTCAGAGAGAAGCAATTGATGTTTAATGGTGTTTTAAGGTATGAGAGGTGTGGGTGGGTGGGTGACGGGATGGCGCTGCTGGCTTTGGGGAAGAAAGGGAAGAATGAAAGGTTCAAGGTGGCTTTTTGGGACTTCAGTGCCACGGAAAACCTCCAGCAGAGGGCAGCAGAAACCATAGCATAGCTCAAGGGCTGGTGGCCAAAGAGTTGCAGACGATCAGAGGCCAGAGGGGACTTGAAAGTCACCTGATCCAGCACCTTCATGGAGCCCAGAGGGAGACTGAGGCCTCAAGAGGAAGAGGAACAGGTGCTCTTCCGTTCCTTCACCTGGCCAACTTGTTCTCATCCTTCTACACTCAGGCACGAAACATTTAACACACACATGGCTCTCTCCCTAGGACTCTTCAAGGACTGGGGCCAGATCAAAAGAGCCTGGCATAAAGTAAGTGCTCAATAAATGAGCCACCTTGTGCAATGCTCTTCCAGCTCCCTGGCCCCCAGCTCTGCCTGCGGGACCCAGCCATACATATAGCTAAAACGATGGATGTCCCCCGAGGCCAGCTGGTAAAGCAGATGCAGTCTCCACGTTCTCATTCATTCAGCTGTTCAACAAGCATCATTTTTTTGTCTGCCTAGTACCCAGGACACAGAGGAAATGACAACGACGATGCCCATGATGATGATGATGATGATAGCAACTACTAACTTTTGGGTGGGGGATGGGGGTGCACCGCCCTCTAGCCCCTAGTTACAAGGGCTGCCCACAGGGGGCAGGTGGCTCTAGGTATGCACAGGCAGGGGCTACAGCCTGACTGCAACTGCTAACTTAGCAAACCACTGATTACCTGGTAGTATTTTAAACCTTTAAATTTAACTTAACTCCTACTGATTACCAGGTACTATTTTAAACCTTTATTTAATAACTTATTTATAAGAGTTTCCTGCTAATTGGGGAAAGAGTCAATTATTCATTGAATAAAGATTTATTGAGCACCTACTATATGCAGACATTGGGGCTACAGCTATGAACAAAATAGACAAGATTTTCTGCCTAAATATAGACAATGGGGAAAAAATGAAGCTAACATTCTGTTAGTGGTGGTGGGGAAGGGATGGTAAAGACGCTGACTCAGGAAAATTGTGACACATTAGATGAATAAAAGAACTATCATTTTAAAATAAAGAAATCAAACAGGGAAGAGGATAGAGAGTGCTGGGGTGCAATTCTTGGAAAGGTGGTTAGGGAAGGTGCTGTTGAAAAGGTAACCTCCAGGTAAAGGAGACGAAGGCGGGATCTATGCAGATTTCTGGGGGAGGAGCATTGCAGGTGATACAGCAAGTCCAAATGCTGTGAGGCCAGAGTGTGTGCCGTATCCAAAGAACAGCGATAATAGCTCTCTTGGGGCCGGGCGCGGTGGCTCAAGCCTGTAATCCCAGCACTTTGGGAGGCCGAGGCGGGTGGATCACGAGGTCAAGAGATCGAGACCATCCTGGTCAACATGGTGAAACCCCGTCTCTACTAAAACTACAAAAAATCAGCTGGGCATGGTGGCGCGTGCCTGTAGTCCCAGCTACTCAGGAGGCTGAGGCAGGAGAATTGCCTGAACCTGGGAGGCGGAGGTTGCGGTGAGCCGAGATCGCGCCATTGCACTCCAGACTGGGTAACAAGAGCGAAACTCCGTCTCAAAAAATAATAATAATAAAATAAAATAAAATAAAAAATAATAGCTCTCTTGGGAGCGTGGAGCCGAGAGAGTGATCGGGAGCACGGTGGCAGACACTGAAGACAGAGGTGTAATGAGGGTCAAATTCCTTCAGGCCCTCCTAGGCTGTGGTAAGGCGACTCGATTTTGCTTTGTGTGAGATGGAAGCCATTAGAGAATTTTGAGCAGAAGAGAGCCATGATCCAACTCAGATTTTAAGAGAAGGGTTGTTGTTTTGAGAATAGGCTGTAGGTAGCAACGGTGGCAATGGGGAGACCAGTGAAGAGGCCGCAGCACGAATCCGGGTGGGCGGCCGTGGTGCTGAGGAGAGCGTGCAGCACGTGGCAAGGGCTAACAGAGGGCAGCTGGGGTCAGGGTGCGGTGCCTCTTCCCTCCGCGGTGGGAGGGAGCTGTGAGGAGTCC